TAAGTTCCATGTCTGAGATGGGAGTCAGTGTTCATACATCGACAATATCCCGGTCCCTATACAAAACTGGCCTGTTTGGGCGAATGGCAAGAAAGAAGTCTTTGTAGAATGGACGGCAACTGCCCGTTGTAAGGGGTGTTACAAAATAAATCACACTTTTTCCCCCTAAGTAATGACGAACTTGGTAGGACCGCGAATATCATCACTCTTGGGCGTTTGACTCTTCATATTTCATTTTTTTGCGAAAACGTTTGAATCATGGTGCTCAGTAGAACTCAGGTTCGTATCGCATGTGCTGCCTTCGGGATGGCTTAGAAACTAGTCGCAGACATGCTCCGAGAATTCAAGTCTTTCATTCGACACATGGCAATGCCAGATTTGAAAAATCAGATTAATGCCTTTCAGAACTGTTGAATTTGAAAGAGTGGTCTGTGAAAACGTGATGGCATGTGGTTTGGGAACTCTCCAGATTTACGTCCTGCCAAAAATGTCGGAGCTTTCATTCAACAATACACAGAAGAAATGTTGGAAAATTTGCCTGAATGCGAGAGACACAAACGTGAAACCTTGATTCATGTTCTCACTGATGTGCTCACAGAGACAGCTACAAAAACAGACATGTATGTTGCATTGCTGAAATCTTTTGCAAATCGATTAAAACTCATGCGTGAGAACAGTGGTGGCCCAATCAAGCGATATTGATACTTGGAATTACTTTTTTGATTGAATTAAAATCTTATTTTACTTTGTTATTCTCTCGGGGAAAAAGTGTGATTTATTTTGCAACACCCCTTAGAGACCCAAGTATGGAGGACGAAGTTTCGAAACTCTTCCGCTTTTCGTCTTCAAAGAAGAAAGAAGCCATTACTGAAAAAGAATAATCTTAAATCAGTATTTGTACGATAACGTTGAATATTTACACATTTATTATAACCAGTTTCTTAACGTGTAACTTTTCAGATATGTATGATAAAATAGAATATTTACACATCCATTATAATCGGTGTCTTAACGTATTCTTCCATTCTAGTGGCATGTTGAAATCTGCATAATGAGATATCGAATAATAAATACCTATATTGAATCTAAAACAACTTGAGATTTTCACAACCAGACTGAAGATACGTTAAATAACCTATGTTATACCTATGTGATTTGCTAGGATCATCTCACAGCAACTATAGATACGTTTAATAACCTATGTGATTTGCTAGGATCATGTCACAGCAACTACAGATACGTTTAACAACCTATGTGATTTGCTAGGATCATCTCACAGCAACTACAGATACGTTTAACAACCTATGTGATTTGCTAGGATCATCTCACAGCAACTACAGATACGTTTAACAACCTATATGATTTGCTAGGATCATCTCACAGCAACTACAGATACGTTTAACAACCTATGTGATTTGCTAGGATCATCTCACAGCAACTATAGATACGTTTAATAACCTATGTGATTTGCTAGGATCATCTCACAGCAACTACAGATACGTTTAACAACCTATGTGATTTGCTAGGATCATCTCACAGCAACTATAGATACGTTTAATAACCTATGTGATTTGCTAGGATCATCTCACAGCAACTACAGATACGTTTAATAACCTATGTGATTTGCTAGGATCATCTCACAGCAACTACAGATACGTTTAATAACCTACGTGATTTGCTAGGATCATCTCACAGCAACTACAGTTACGTTAAATAACCTATGTTACACCTGTCTGACTTGCTGGGAACATCACACACTAATTACAGATAAGTTAAATAACCCGTGTTATACCCATGTGCCTTGTTAGGATCATCACACCCTAATTACAAATACATTAAATAACCTATGTTATACATAGGATAATCACACAGGATAATCACATAGGATAATACATTAGGATCGTCACACTCTAATTACAAATAAGTTCAATGACCTATGTTATACCCATGTGCCTTGTTAGGATCATCACACTATAATTACAAATAAGTTAAATGACCTATGTTATACTTATGTGACTTACTAGGATGATCATACCTTTATTATAGATAAGTTAAATTACCTGTGTTATATCTATGTGACTTTCCATGGGATCACTACTATGCTATAGATACGTTAAATAAAACGTAAAGGTTCATAACTTTCACCTTATTTCTTACTACTCCTTAGGTGGTGTTTAGTTTGCTTATTGAACTAGAAAAGGTGGTCACACTTCAACTGTTTGTAGTAAATATGATAAATGTTTTAGTTTTGAATAAGTTTTTATAAATAGCCACAAATGTTTTATCAGTTTTTAAGAATATTTTATAAACTGATCTTTAGAAATTTATTGAACTGGTGTGTTTTCCTTCTTCGTGTTAATTGTTTTCAAGGCTTCAAAAGTCATTACTGTCAAAACATTGCGCTTTTTTTTCTTCAGTAATCCTTCGTACGACAAAAAGAAAAAAAAAACATTAATTAATAAGTATCCTTATTATTGTTAATGTCACATTGTGGTAGTTAACGTTAACCACAATGTTTGCACTTAGTTCTCACTCTTTCATTAGTGAGTTTGTTTTTAATTGAATACTGAAAGGAGTGGCCCAGAAGAGGCAGATTTAGCTTTCGGTCATGTTTTGATAGTTTCGTCACCAAAAGTTTTTTCTGTTGTTTTGTTTTTCACAGAAGACGCTATACCGCTAGGCTTCCCGCAGTTCACTATGCACCCCACCATGCAAGGGGTAGAAAAGGGTCGAACAACCCTCTTGTACTGTCAGGCCGAGGGTAACCCAACCCCTACCATCTACTGGTTAAAGAACATGGTTCCTGTTAACCTGGATGACCCACGGTTAAACATTATTCAAGGAAGTAAGTATTAAAATAGGTAATTTAACTCCTGTTTTGTACTGATTAAAGGATATGGTCCCTGTTAATCTGGCTGACCCACTGTTCAGGAAGTAAGTATCAAAGTAAGTAATTTATATTTTAATGCATACTTTTGAATAGCGCCATGTTGACTACCGTTTAAGATAATTCCATTCCTATCAGTGACGTGATGGGGTCACGCATGACCCAGTAGTAAGTGTGTCATGCTGTGGATCGAAGGGTCCGAGGCTCGAGACATGCTACTGCTGAACACATTTCGCATTTTCAATTGTGAGCGCGTTATAGAAGTAACAGTCAGTCTCGTTGTTCGATACAATAGAGCCGGGCGGAGCTCTTGTGGCGGCGGTATTTCTAATTGTCAACCTTCACTGGCGGCGGTACTTATAATTGGCACCTTTCACTGTGGTCGATGGTTGAAAATTAGGGACGACTATACCAGAACCTTAAGGAATCTCTGACATGGCCGTAATGTACCGTTCAGGTTGAAAATTCCAATCCCTACGAGACGTGTTAATGACAACTTTGTAATAGTAATTTCAGGTTAAAGATGAAATACTCTCCAACCAACGATCGATAGTAGGAGGTGTAACTAGCGTATCTACTGCACTGCATTGTCGCCAGCACATATACACATTTACGCCAGATATTTCTTCAAGTCACCTGACATCTTTAGTCAAGAACAACTGGAAGCACCTTGTCAAACTGTTACCCTAATCGTTAAACAAATCACCGTATCGTGACACAGCCTTCGTTGCAGAGTTTGTTATTATATACTCTGCAACAAATTTCTGTTTTGTGGCGATCACAATTTTTGAGGTACCCCCAGAATTTTGTTATCTGTTTTGTACTGTGATGATGCCGATATCTGCTTTGCTACAATAATTTGTTTCCGTAAACAAACTTCAGTAATGTAATCATTTCCTTGTTCAAAAACTCGTAAATGTAGAGGTGTATAATATGTAAATAAGTCTCGACTCTCAACCTGCGAGTTCGAATCCCCGTCAGCCTTGAGAGCGTTATCATTTGACGGTCAATCCCACTGTGCGTTGGTAAAAGAGTAGCCCAAGAGTTGGCGGTGGGTGGTGTTGACTAGCTGCCTTCCCTCTAGTCTTTCATTGCTAAATTAGGGACGGCTAACACAGATAGTCTTCGAGTAGCTTTGCGCGAAATTCAAATCAAATCGGATGATGAAGAGTTTCAGCTCTGGTAACCCAGGTAACAAGCTGAATGTAAAACAATCTTCAAAGCTGGGCTACCGAACATTTGTACTTTGACATAATTTTAAATGCATATAATTAATTTTGTACACGTATATAGTACATGTACACATAAGAACGTGAGAAAAACCTGCAATTATTTATAATGTTAAACGTTTTACCATGTGGACACTAAGAATAATATCATTTATAACATACCACTGTAATGTTTATTAATTCCAGCATTATTATTATTATTCAACTTTTACTTATCACTGTGCAAAATACATCATATAATGGTTTTTCTCGTTTAAGCATATTTGTTGTTTCTCTGATAATAATCGCTGGAAGACTTTAACTCGGATTGTTGTAATTACCCCAACTTCACTGCACTGTGACCTGTCGTGATTCCTCGTCGTTAATATGTTAATTACACTAACGGTTCGTCAGAGGATGTTCTTTTTCATCCATATTTATCTCCCGTCTCTTTCCCCCGAATGACTTGATGGAATGTTGATTTGTTTATACAATCAGACATTCCTTCTGTACCTTTACAGGAATAGTTGAAATGTTCTCTTGATCTGTGGTTTCCAAGGTGAACAATACTTGGTTTATTTGTAAACATACTTCAGCAGTCGTGGAACGTTAGCGCTTCCAAGAATTCCGTTAGACGATAACAAAAATGTTGCTAACGTAGTAACTCTCTTGCGTATATTAGATTTTACTATTGTACAGTCATCGAAGCGCATTCCTTTTTACCCGGATGTTGTTTTTAGCTAGATATGCTAGAAGAAATGTTAATTAACCATAGTGGTCGTATATTGGCTATATATATCACCTGGTGTCACTTTACACAAAAGTTGTAAACAATGATATTAGTGATAACTTGTTTTCCTTTCGAGACTCTTAATAATTTATTAAATCATATTTTCAGCCTATCTCCAAATAAGCGAAGCAAAAGAAGAAGATCAAGGAACTTACCAATGTGTAGCAGAGAATTCGGTTGGTTCTGGCTTCTCTAACCTGGCGTCGCTGTACGTTAAAGGTAACATATGTATAGTTTTTCTCACAACTATCTGAAGTTATGGTAGATGAACTTGTTTAAATGCCAGTGTATATTTCTGTGTGTTGGCATTTTGTGTAAGAAAAAGGTTTTACCATTTTCGCATTAATAGCATTTATTTAAGTACATTTGTTCAACTTCCTACACATACCGAGCGGCTAATGTAATTGTATCATGAATTAAAGTTACAATTTCCCTATTGCCTGGAAAACTCGTTGGTCCTACTGTTCATTCCAGGATACTTAAATAGAGGCAACAAAAGGACGTAACGAACAAGATCTGGTTTATATAGAAGGATCAGATTAATCACAAAACCATCACATCTTCCTCTGTTATCTTCAGAGTACAGCGAAGTTCGCATATGAATTACATTTTCAGTCAAACTGTAGTACAAGGTTGTATTTTCCTCCAAAGAAACGTTATTTTCTAAGAGAAAACAAAAAGTATATATATATATTTATTGACTAAGAACGTCTGTTCACACAATGCTTGTTGAAAATAAATAATATATAACAAAGTTACAAAAAATTCTAACATTTGTTTAAAGGTAAGCTGTTTTGTCATGTATAACATAGTAGATTCAGGGAGATTCTTTTGACGTGTTAAAATGCTTATACTCCTTTTCATACCCGACTGTGATAAAATATATATACATCCTTAATTGAAGCGTCTTCATTTAAGTAAATTACTGCTAGATCTTGCTACATCTTGTTACTATGGAAACTGGAATTAATGTATCGTTCCTTTCATTTCACAAACAAAAATTGTTGCGCTTCAAACATTAGATAAGTTGGGTTTCTTTTTATTAATTTTGACTGTGGATAGTGTACAATAAATAGAAAATTCATAACCTTATTTATAACTTAGCATTAACTGTTACCATAGCAACCCGATTCGAACACACGTATCAACCACGAAATGTTATTTGTCGTTGAAGTAATACGTGGATTATGTACCGTTCTTTGGATAAAGAATACTGTTTGCTAATTGACAATACCAAGAGATGATCTTGGCACGTTATTCCATCACGAAGTGTACTCTGGCGGGAATTTGTTGTTGTTAACCGAGCTGGAGTAATGACGACCTTCCATAAGAAGGTAATACTGCAGTTAATCTAGTTGGAAGTAAATCAGCATCGTAATGAAATTAAAATATGACGCAATTTAAATATTTCATTTGCCTTTCGGTGATATTGAATATGGATTCCTTGTAATTCAAGAATAACATGCACTGATTCAAAAAGTACACTTTTTCAGTTATCAACCTAAAATAAAATAATAAAAGTTTATAGTCTGTAAAAACTAGAAGCAATGACTAGTCTAGTCAATAAAAGTTGCGGTCGAACGTAAAACTCGCTTACATCGGTAATGAAAACACACATGCGCAGACCACCGGAACTGTAACGATATGATTAGTCAGGACACGTAGTAAACAATGATGACCAAAGATTTACATGCAATACCCATTTTCATTCCTACACCTCCTTGTTTTACTGGTAAGGGCGTAGCTTACGTAGGTTTTCTGTCTTATCAGCAGAGATATCAAGAACGTTATAAATGATCTAAGTCTTTTTGTTCATATTTTTGATAGAAATAGTACGCATTGACTCATAGAATACATGCGTTCTCATAGATAATTTATTTAGTTTCCAAGCATCTTGTCTATATTTGGAGGGCATGTAGCGATACAGTTATCAAGGATTGAAAGACGATGAACTACTACGTATTATCAAGAGCCTGAAGGATAGGTACCCACAGCTTAGAGCATGGAGAACACAGGCCTACGAATTTAAACTTCATAAAAAGTTGTTTTAATTTTAATGACGGGTGTTCTATAATTCAGCTACGCGAATTTCGAAAATAATATTTGTTTTTTTTCTATCACGTAAGGATTTTTTACAAATCTGGAATAAAAAAACTTACTTAGATCAAATTATTATTTCGTTTACCGCAATGAACATTTTTTATTATTATATTTCCTAACAAAAATACAAACAAACTGAAGAAAAGGGAAGAACATTGACGTCAAACGAATATGGATCCTCATTCATCCTTATTTTGTTGTATGAAATCTATGTCTATTAGTCTCTAAACTACGTATTGTGGCCTTTTTTTATGTATTGCGTTATGACGTTTTGTGAAAAATCTGTACCTGATGGAGAAAAATAAACATCATTTTCGGATTCAGCGTACGGGAATTACTATAGAACATGTACAAATTTCAAGACAATAAAATCATCGCAGACCTGTGTAATCATTCTTGCTACCAAGGGGTTAGAGCATAGATAATCATACTGGTTATTAAGGGGTTAGAGCATAGATAATCATACTGGTTATTAAGTGGTTAGAGCATAGATAATCATACTTGTTATTAAGGGGTTAGAGTATAGGCAATCATTCTTGTTAACAAGAGTTTGGGACATAAATAACCATACTATTACCAAGGGATTGTAGGACAAGTAACTATACTTGCCATCAAGGGGATAAACGTACTTTTATCAAGAGGTTGTAAGATAGATAACCATACTATTACCAAGGGGTCGGGGAACAAGTTACTATACTGTTACTAAGGGATTGGAAGAGCCTTTCAACCATTTCATAACATTATGATTATTTGAATGACCATATTTCTACCAAAGAATTTAGGACAATAACTGTAATGTTACCAAGGGGTCGGGGAACAAGTTACTATACTTGTTACTAACTGATTGGAAGACAAATAATCATAATGTTATGAAATGGTTGAAAGGCAATAACCATATTTCTACCAAAGAATTTAGGACAATAACTGTAATGTTACCAAGGGGTTGGGGAACAATTAACCATACTTGTTACTAAGGGGTTGAAGAATGGATAAACATACTCTTTTCAAGAGGCTGAACCACACGTAACCATATAGCTGGTTGGAGGACAAGTAACCATATGGTTACCATCAAGGAAATTGAGGATAGATAGCCACATTCGTATCATGTATAACAAAATTACTTGATAACCTTGCACTAGATATGAGATATTTGTTATTTCAGAATAACGGTCTTCAGAAGTTACCAAATTTGGTTATAAACGCATGATTGATAGTTTTTTACAAGAAGCATTTGAAACAACTAAAACTTTATTTTCAGTGCGTCGGGTTCCTCCTTACTTCTCTATACCTCCAGAACCTGCCTACGAAATAATGCCAGGATCGAGCTTGAACCTAACCTGTGTGGCGGTAGGCTCTCCCATGCCGTATGTCAAGTGGAGAAAGGGTTCTTTTGATTTGACACCCGAAAACTCTCTTCCTGTAGGGAAGAACGTGCTGCAGTTAGAAAACATACGGGAATCTGCTAACTACACCTGTGTTGCAGCTTCTAAGTTGGGTAACATAGAAACCGTCACAGCAGTTCTGGTACAGGGTAAGATGAAATATTTGATTCAGCTCATCTGTTTGTTATATAATATTCAATATATTGATTTCTTCCTTGGACGGAAAATGTGGTTCTTTTTTTACGTTTTTAATAATGTAACATAAATTAATAGACTTAACATTTGTGCTATAATACAAGTTAGACAGTGCGTAGTCTTGTACTGTGCAGACTTACACCGTTAAAAACCGGGTTTCGATACCCGTGGTGGGTAGAGCACAGACAGCCCGATTCCTTCAATCAGATTATTACCCGAGTATAAAGGAAAATACAATAATCACAGTAATCTCCAAAAGAAGATAATGATTTAAGCAACTCAAGTAATTACTGTCTCATCAGCCTACTCGACTGAATAGGTAAACTATTAGAGAAAAAAAGATAGTCACTAAAATCCAATAACACAAGAGAGCCGAAAGCTTGTAGAAATAAAAGAAAACCATGTTTGTAGAGAAATGTTTTAAGAGTTTCTTAATTAATATAAAACTGGAGTCATATGACCGATATGAATAAACTGTCTTAACAATGGTTTATCAACTAATAACAGAGCTAAAGGCTAACGTCTGATGAAACTAAGTGTAGTTAAACCAACAGAGCAGTAAGCCCAATATTTATATTAAGTACAGTATAAGTTTGTTTGTTTACATTTAAGCACAAAGCTATACAAAGATCGGATACGTTTTTAAGGACTATGCCACATATGCTGTCATCGCCAGGGGCTAACTTTTTTAATTTTTTTGTTGTGAATCCTTATTTCAGACATGGCCCGGTGGTTAGGGCGCTAGACTCACAAGCGGAGGATCGTGGGTTCGAATCCACATCACCGAACATGCTCGCCGTCTCAGCCGTGGGGGTCGATATAATGTGACTATTCATTGGTAAAAAGAGCAGCCCAAAAAATGGTGGTGGGTGGTGATGACTAGCTGCCTTCCATCTAGTCTTTCACTGCTAAATTAGGGACGGCTATCGCAGATAGCCCTCGTTAGATTTACGCGAAATTCAAAACAAACCAAACCTGTAGGGTAAGTTACCTGGCAGTTGTAACCGAATGAGTAGTCAGTCGGCTATAAAAAAGTTGATTTAAGTTAGCTTAGCCCTTGCAAGTAAAATCCACTAACTCTTCCACTGCCATGAGCTCGTATATGAAACATAGTCTTGAAAAGTGAAAGCAGTTTGAAATTTTGTACCACCATGAAGAAAGGGAATTCCTTTTCAAACTTCTCAAAGTTTCTCGTTTCAAGTAAGTAATGAAATATCAAAAACGCGCTTTTTTGTTTTATTTTTATTATGTATCTGAAAATAAACGTGACAGAGAAAGAGTTAAGAACACAGCCGATTATGAAAATCATAATTTGTCATTTTTGAAACTTTGTGAACATTAATAATCTAAATTCTAGATTTACCATTGTAAACTAAATTATTATTACACTAGCGAAAGTACCCGGTGTCGCTCGGGTTATTAGATTAATATATTATAGATAACTATGTCAGTATGTGTATTGTGAACCTATTTTAGCATCCCGCAAGTGGACATAGTCTCTTTTTTTTCAATTCGGAGCTTCTTTTGGGTTATGCGAATAAATCGCAGCCTTTCTGTTTCGATTTTAGCATACATTACGATTCTAGTATGGCCAGGTGGTTAAGGTGCTCGACTCGCAATCTGAGGGTCGCGGGTTCGAATCCTTGTCACACCAAACATGCTCGCCCTTTCAGCCGTGGGGGCGTTATAATGTGACGGTCAATCCCACTATTCGTTGGTAAAAGAGTAGCCCAA